TTCTTCTATAATTGCCTTCTTTATAATCAAATTCAGCACCAGTCAACCCATGAGTCACGGGAACAAACTGTCGGGCACCGTACTGTCTCAATATCAACAAAGGAGCGTATCCCACTCCTCCCCACAGTCCCAGTAATATAATCCAGTCCAAATCTCCACACTTGAACAAGATTTGTGTATGCATCAGCCACGGGGTTCGCCATGCTATGTTTGACTCTGTAGATTCCGGAAGAAATCAATCCATTGATCTTTCTGAGATACTTCGCCATTCCTTCGTGAGGTACTCAGCAACAGGAGAATAATCTTTCAAAAAACGGTTATAGTGACTTTTTCTTCCTTCCAGAAATGGCTTCTGATCCACACAGTAAGCAATTGAGCACAGCCCATAAAACGACCTCCCCCAACCTTCTACATATATTCAAAGATCGAAAGTTTCAGCAAGAATGCATGGACTGGATTCATCTCTCTTCCTAATTTCTCAACCAAATCGACTACTGCTAGCTCGATCAATCCCAAACATTTTGGAAGATTACCAGACCATATATACCCAAAGCAAATACATCTCTACGCACGTTTTCATCTACATGTGCTTCAGCTATCTTTTGTAAGTGAGACCACGGCACTCCCTCACTTTCTCCCTTGCGTTGCAAGCGATCATTCACCCATTTGTCGCTTGTGCCCGAGATCTTTGCAAGCTTTGACTTAAAGGAAGGCCCTTTTATCGACCGGGAGTAAACTTTGTCCACTTTAACGCTTGTCAAATTCAAACAGAAATTGGTATTCCTCGAGGGTTGGAGTCATGTCCTCTCGGTTGAATGTGAAACAACTATAGGCCGGATTCCAAAACTGTATTATGCTTCGTATGAGAACCGGGTCTACCTTCACGTATATCAGATGAAATATATCCCCATAAGTCTGCTGAAAAGCTTGCCTCTCAATAAGATTCCAACTTTCCCAAATGGTTTTCAATCCCTGAAGCTCATTCTGTTTTAAAGAAGCTGGCGTATAATCAGACAGATCCGACACGTAGTTCCCTGATAGACTATCTCCCTGCTCTTTCTGCTTGGCCTCGGACCAGTTCCTTACATCTGCTGGATTCACTTCTCTGTTTAGGAAACTCCTTTCCATCGTGAAAGTCTTTCCACTTTATCGCTACTCACAGATCATCGCCTTTTCTAATGATATGTCTATGCAGTATGAGAAAATAAACAAACAAACAAAACAGTTAGTCAAAACATTGTATAAATTTAACATAAAAATATAAGTAAAACAGGAAATAATCTATTCTATTTATGCATTATCTACCTGAATAATATTCCTCAAAAAGGGTCCTACCCAAACATGCTCTCTACCCTCCTAAATTAATTAATTCTAACTGCACCTAAATTCTATTTCATGCTTTAACAGAATAAAATCTATTCTACATACTCAAAAATAAATAAAAATAAAAAGGTTAGAGGGTTTCTCCATTGTGTACGCCTATTTTGGGTACCTATTGACGGACAGAGGTTCAGTATGACTCTACCTAGTGACCGTTCTTGGTTCACTATATGCATGGTTTCAGCTCTAACAGGAAACAAGGAACTCGAATTGTCCTTGATGTCAGTGCCCCCTTGGGCTACCAAACCCTCAATCCTCACCCATTACAGGTTTCAAACGGACCGAGTTCAATTCGAGGGGATTCACTGCCTTATACCCATACGAGGAATAAATTCCTACGAAGGTATAAGGTATGTTCCATGGGTTATTTGCTAAAACTCATACGAAGAATAAATTCTTACGAGAGTAAAGCAATACCCTAACTAATTTGGATCGAAACTCATGTCTAGAGCTCATGTTATGCTAATGAGAGTGATGTGTGTGAGGAGAAACAAACAAACCTTGACTCAAAAAACAGAAAAAAAACACTCAACGAGAACTAAAAATCTGAAAAAATGAAAACAATTAAAATGTTAGTATATAAAAATCAATAAAAATTCAATACGTAGATCATAGTTTTACTAAAGATTCGAACTTATAATTTCCACCATAACGACCATATATAAGCGACCGACAGCCTGACTCTCATTTCCCCAGCAGAGTCGCCAAGCTGTCATAACCATTTTTTAGGTAAAACAATTTAATATTATTTTAAAAAACGATTATGACTTTAATTTGGAAAATTTGGTGATTTTGAAGGGATTTGAATAAAATTGAAAAGAGTCGCCATCGACCTTTGGGTTAGGTAGGTCAAATACCTAAAAACGTCTTTTAAAAACAATTTTAAGAAAAATAATTTTATAAGACAAAAATTTGGTCTACGTTACCAATGATTCATTTAAAACAGGTTCGGGAGTCGGTTACGTGTGGGGAAGGGTAAACACCCCTCACAACGCCCAAAATCGGTACTTAGTCACTTATATATAGTCGTAAATGGTGGAACTTAGAATTTGAAGCAGAAGAAAAAAAATATGATCTATTTATTGAAATTTTTTTTATAATAGAAATACTTCAATTGGTAAGAAATCTCAAGATTTGCAATCCTCCAACGGGAAAGCTATCTCATCTATTTCTTATCTATAAAGTATATTCCATCTTTGAATTACCACTAAATAATATTGACATGAGTAGAAAATAAAATATGCTTAATTTGTCTAAAACATGTATCGTTAATATTAATATAACAACCATTAATACGATAAGAAGAATAAGAATAGAATAATAAATAAATTATGATCTATTTATTGAATATTAGTTAAAATAAAAAACCTTTTCTTGACAAGAAATCCCGAGATTTGCAATCCTCCGTCGGGAAAGCTACCTCGTCTATTTCTTATCGATAAAGAATATTTTCTCTTTAAATTAAAGAATAATATCGAAAATTGACATAAAATGCATTTTATTTTCCAAAACATACATCACTCATATTAAGATTCAATGAAGAAATAATAATAAAGATTAAAATTTAAATATTAAACAATATGACCATCAAATAAATTAATCAAACAATAAAAACAATAAAAATAATTTCTATAAGCTTGTAAAAGGAAGAATTTGCATTTTTTTTATTCAGTTTGAACGTCGTATCGGATTGTACCACTTCGATCCAGTGATACTTTCCACGCCCGTTCTATAAATATGTGTTCTTGAAATTATTCGAATAATATACAATAGAGAAATACAATGGAAATAAATATAAATAAAATATGCGAACTAGAATCTTTACATTAAATGAAACAAACACATTATTTACATAATACAAATAACCAAATAATAATTCATATATAATGACTACAATGAAATAAGTAAATATTATAAACCAAGATAAAATGATCAAAAAGCAAGTACAAAGGACTAGAATAACAAACACATAAACTCAAAGAGCCAAAATGGTAAAATCAGAAATTTAAAGGACTACAATGAAAGAAACAGAAAATAAAAACTAAAATAGCAATTTCATATAAATCAGAGTCCATACTAAAAAAACTAAATAGCATATGTACTAAGCTAAAAATAGCCCATAAATCACGTATAGGACTAAAATGAAATAAAACAGGAACATAAGGATACAACAGCAGTTAAACCAAGTTTCATACGGTGATTAAATTACAATACTTACAAATGTCGTGACCAAAATCGAATGTTAACAGAAATGTCATAACAAACCATAACGGTACTAGATTATAAGTTCTGAAAACTTATTGCTCGAAATCAAAGAAATTAACATTTCATTTAATGGTTTAACATATGATTACAAGACCCTAGGGACTAAAAGTGTAGTTAACCCCACGAGGAAAATACAGAACCCTTTCCCTAAAACACGGTCGTTTCACAGGAGACATTAAAGCCCTAAACGGGATGGCTTCCTCATTCCCTCATTCTCTACTTCTTCCCTTCTTAAAACAGAGAGCAAAAGAATGCTCTCAAAGTTCTCTCCTTCCCCGCCTCTGTCTCCGCCGTGGAGAAAAAATAAAAAGGCCACGCCGCCGCAGCCAGCGGCGATGGCTTGAGAAATCAAACCATGACCACCCTCCTCTCTTCCTTTGAACAATAACCCCTCTCCTACCCCAAGCAAAAACCGAAACCTCTGTTCGAAAACCTAGATCCAACATAAGGGAAAGTTTACCTTCAATACGGCCTTCTCTGCTCTGGCTAGCTACGACGACGAGGCTTTCTACAAGGGTAAGATCTCCCTCACTTTGTTTTTTTTCTCTCTATATTTTCTCTGGTTTTTTTCTTTTTCTTTCATTTTTTTTTCTGTTTCGAAATCTCCCTCCCTTTTGGATTACTCTTCTTTTTCTTTTATCCTTGCTTGCATGTGGATTTCCAATGAGATGATGATGATATCTAGGTAGATAGGATTTGATTTCTCTGATTTGGGTGAATAAAATCCAGATTTTTCGGGATTTTCGGGTGTTATTTTAATGGGTTTTTAGATTTGGGGTAAGCTTAGGCCACTGTTCTTTGATTTGGTTACTGTTTTTACAGGGACCGGTCACTGTTGGATGGATGAATTCCTCACAGCTCCGATGACAGCGGCGGTGAGGGAAGCAGCCAGCTTGAACGGCTGGGAAAATGAAGGTCAAACGGCTGTGGCGGCTGAGTAGGGGATTAGGGTTTGAAACCCTAATCTGTTTTAGGGTTTGAAACCCTAAATTGTTTTAGGGTTTGAAACCCTAAATTGTTTTAGGGTTTGAAACCCTAATCTGACGGGTTGCTGGGCTCCGGGATTGGGCCAATTCTGAGTTGGGCTTCGGGTTGTTGGGCTCCGGGATTGGGCCTTTTGGGCTTCGGGTTGTTGGGCTCCGGGATTGGGCCCTTTGTAATCTGAATTGGGCTTAGGGATTAGGCCTGCAAAAATTGTAATAATAAATAATAATAAAATAATAAGATAACGATAATAATAATAATAATAATAATAAAATAACGGAAAAAAAACCCGGACAAAAACGGGTGTCTACAAAAGCAAGAAGAAAGTCACATTCCAAGGCATCAGACTCTAACCCATATATGCATAACACACATCAGATTGAGTTATATCATCCGTAAACACCATCCATCTTGATTCTCATACATTGTTTTCTTTCTTTCCGATTTCTTGTTATCATATATGGGAGAGCAGAGGCAACCTTTTCGTTTTCGACTCCCGTGGCTGTCATCAGCTGCCACTACCCGTCCTGTAGCTGCTCCACGTCCTGCAGCTCAAACTGAAGCCCCTTCTCAGCCGAACACTACAGTCTCTGTCCAACGACCACCATTTCGGCCTGCGGGGACTGCCCCACGACAGACCTCTTCAACCCATGCTCAAACACACACACCAAAAAAAGAACCTCAGCCAGTATCACCATCTCGGGTACCCACACAAGCAAGTGCTGTCTCTGTCCCTCAATCTCCATCACGTATTGTTTCCCAGCCTCAATCAACAGAACAGGCAGTCTCCAAGCAACAATCCTCATCGCATTTGACCTCTCAGCCAACAGGCCAAACATCTCTGTGGTCCGCTTCTCCATCACATCGAGCCACTCAAGCGCAACCATTGTCTCCAACAGCTATACAAGAAAGGTTCCAAACTCCAAGTTCCAGTCGATCCCCACCATCTGCCTCACCATACTAAACCATCTGGTGTTGCAGTAACGCCTTCACAGGCATCAGCTGAGATAAAGAAGTTGCACCAATTACCGGCTCAAATACGGAAACGCCTTCAGCATCATTAAAGCCAAAAGAAAGGGAAGAAAGGAAGACTGCTATTGAAAAACGCAGGAAAGAAACAGCAGAGGCTTCAACTCATGAAGAGTCCAAGCAGAGAACAGTTGCTAAACTCCTTCCTGAAGCAAAAGATGCTGGGAAGAAAACCAGAGAGCAATTGGAGGCTGCCCCGGAGATAGGAAAACGACACCAGCAAAAGCAAGAAGGAATTGGAACAAAGAAGAGATTGACAACATCAAGCACTGATGAAAAACAAATGAAAACTATGCTGAATCCAAAAAATGAGAGCACGCCAAATAAAGCTCATCAAAAGCATGTGTCTTCAAATTGGGAACAAGTTCCCTTGCATGAAGAGATCAGGAAAGATATTTCTAAGTTTGTTCATAAGCTCACCACAGGGCAACCACAGCTGCATACAGAACAACAATCGATCAGTGTTCTAACCCTAGCAGGTGAAAATAGAGGAGCAACTTTTCACTTGGGTTCAGAATCAAGCAAAAAGGATGGATTAGTGCACATTCACCGGGGTTATAAGATCAACCCAGATGACAGCCCTGATGCTACCACTGATGGAGAAGGAAGCTCGAGGGTAAGGACGCCTAAGGATTCAGCAACCAAAGAAAATCCAGCATCAAGAGCTTATGTCAATAATAACATACAAAGCATCAATAATTCAATTGTGTCTGAAAGTTCTGTGAATGCACGAAATCCAGGTGTTCATCTTGAACTTTTACACAATTTAGCAGAATTAATCAAGTCCAGTACAAAGGCAGAGCATGCAGAGCCACGCAAGGCTGAATTTAATATTACATCAGCAGAGAAGCTTACACATGAGCCTACGGTACGAAGAAGATGCCTCAGAGCGCTCTTTGCAGAATCAAGTGACTCAGACCCAGATAATCCCAAAAAACCTCGACGACATGGTTGCCGCTACAGCTGTGAGGAGAAGAACAAACAAAAGGAGAAAGGGGTTCTATGGTAACATAAATCGCAACTTTGTAATAATTACTTACCAGTTTGCAGACAGAATATGCAAACAAGATATAGAGAATGACTATGATACACACAATAAATATGTCATATTGTCCACAATCAAGCTCCAGACCCATAATGTCTTCTGTGTTTTTCATGATTTATTGTTATTTACAGCAAAATGTACTATGTAATCCAATCTGCAAGTAAATACCCCCGGGGGGGGGGGCTTTGTCATACACTATTTCCCTTGGATATTTCATAACATTAAATATAAAAGCTGTAGAATGTGATAAAGCCATATGCTCAGAGGGGATGTCTGGAGTTTGCCTTCCAAAAATATATACAGATCCTCAAACTTGCATATGTTTGTAGCCCTAATTACAGAATTGCATAGTAACAAAGGCAAGTTGCCTATGAAATGGCTAGCCTAAAGTACAACCAAAGAGAATATTACAAATTACAACCAAATTGTAGTGAACTCTAGCATGATCGTGCCAGTAGAAGGAACAAGATCACTGTTATTCACATACAGGTTTTGTGTCAAAGCTGCTTAAGCAGATTGCAAAGGCTTGGAAGGCAGAGAGTGGGTAACGATAATCCATGGTGAAAATGTCCTTGCCAATCTTCCCGAATTGCAGAATCACGTTTTCTTGTTCAGCCAGTGTAACATTTTGACTTCGCTCCACAGCAGCAACCAACTGGAAATTCTTTACAGAGGCCACCGTAACTCGTCCTTTAAAATTTAGGCACCAACACTGCAACTGTTCATGCCATCTAGGAGCTTTATTTTTCAAGACTAAGGGTGCATATGCCATTGACTTCAGGGTTGTACGATTTCCAGTTGAATCGTATCCAACTTGAGGCCTTATTCCTGTTGAATCTAACAAGTAAGAAGAATGCTCAAGGTGATTTGTAAATGCCATAGGTGTAGGAGCAGTTTCTCTTTCTTCAATGGTGGAGATGGGGATCGAGTGCATGGTACACTGCATTCGCCTTGGGCCTCTCGTGCGTTAGAACATTGAGCTGATAAGATATCTTGGCAGTGTTATAGTTACTCATAGTTTCCCTCGAAGGCACCTTTTCCAGAAGAGTTTTTTGACATGATCGACAACAGGAGCGGACTATAGGATCTTCCGGAGGTTGACTGTCAAAAATGTTGAACTTGGTCCCCAGGAAATTAGATCTGTTAAAAGCTTCACTCTTAAAATTTAACAAAAGAAAGGACCAACCAATCCTTAAGAAAATAACAGTTTCACACATGTAAAAGCTTACCTGAGTTTTCCAACATACTTGTTGCTTGATCTAGAGAAATCATCCCCAACTAAAGATATAACAAAATCAATACCAGTAGCCCTTCTGACCTTTTTTGCTGCTAGTAACAGTTTACTCAACTCACCTGAAAGAGCTGTAAATTCGTAACATACAAATAAATACCAGTTATGAACAAATTACTATGCTAAAATCTATAGTTTAAAGAACCAAAAAAACATATTTTCAAGAAAAAAAATTACCTGGACTGAGACCCATATACAATCGAAATATTGAAGTTGCTCTATCCCTTCTAATAAGCATTGAATCGGCGTATCCCTTGGTCCAGGCTTAAAACAATACGCAAAACACTTAAAGAGCCGTTTTTTTTCAAAAATAAAGGGCGAAAAAAGATATAAAATTTACCTGCTTTAAAGAGATTGGGAAAGTTAAGAAGCCACAATGTTCAGGTGTCTTAACAATGTCTTTAGTAATTTCCCTCCATGAGCGACAAACTGAAGCACAAGCAACCACATCTCTCCTTCCAGGCCAACATCGTTCCCTTGATTCCACTCTTTGAATGATATCTAAGAGTAATTCTGGAGGCAAATTTTCCCACTGCCGCTGCTCGACTTGTACAGTTGAAGAACCAGGTGAAGAAGAGAGAGAAACTTCTGGAGTAATATGGGCTCGACACCGCCGAAGCTTATGTATCGTCCCTGATTTTTTCTTTGACATCTTTCCAATCTCCCGAACAAAGCATTTTAATGGCATTTTCAAAGCTAAACACACGAACAGTGAATCATAGGCCAATAAATGTAAATATATAAATAACTTTTTGGGTTTTGAAAGTTTACCTGAAAGATTGGGGTTTGGAAAATTTATCAGGAATATGCAGAACGGGGAGACAAATTCATTGGAAGACTCGAAAAATGAGACGTACACATTCTCCCATCAAAGTGGGAATCTAATGGGATGAGAAACCTAGAAAAAATTGAACTACTGCTTTGAAGCAGTTTGATTGTTCATTGTTTTTTCTCTAGCTCCTCCCAACTCCGTCTCCGTCGTTGCTAACACCGGAAGCTACTTTGCTATTGCGAGGATCACCACACAATGAATGTTTGCTTTTTCTCCTTCTCTTTCGTTGATTATAATTTAAACACAACTCTGGTTTCGGTTTTTTTTTTTTGGTTAATTTTTAATTGGCGGGCTTTTACATGTTTATTAATTGTTCACACAGTCAGTAGAAAATTGTAGCGGGACCCACCATTTTGAAAAGAATTTATGTTTCTGATTTAATTAATTCGTTTTAATTCATAATTTTCATATAAAAATATTTTTTTAAATATTTTTTTTTATTTTTAAAGGATTTAGAATATTTAAAATGTACTAAGTGTAAAAACCCTAAAATTATATTAAAAATACATTTTCATATTTTATGGCTTGGACTATATTTTTCTTATGTTCAATATATTTTAAAATTTATTAAATTCACTAAATAATATAAAAAATCATAAAAACTGATAGAAGTCCCGTGAGACTAATGGTCGAGTCGTTCAAAAAATAAATATTAGATTGTTTTAGAGTTTTTCACATTTCTATGATTTTTTAAAAAAAAAATCTTTTAAAATAATTTTAACATTTTTATTTATTTTTATAACACGTGCAGACTCTTATCAAACAATATAAAAATTTTAAGGATAAACAATACCAGTTACCACTTAATTATCGTCTTCTTTTAATTTAATATAGATTTTTTAATTTTATCAATCAGAATACTTAATTATTTAAGCATTTGCCGATTGAAGCAAACTTGTTAATCATTCAATTTTCATCTGAGAATTAATTGAATGGGGTTTTAGAAATGGATGTTAGCATGTTGAAAATAAACCTATTATAATAAAATGTTGGCTGCTTAGTTTCCAAACCCCTTAAATTCAGCTTGTGTAAGATTTCAATTTGGATTCATTTGAATAATGAGCCACTAGATATGGACCAAAACACATAGCTTTGTTACGTTGCAAGTGCAATCGAAACTCCAGTTTACCTGGATATAATTTTGATCTAAGTTTGGTATCGATACCAAATAGATAGTTTAAGGATTTAGTATACCAAATTGATAGTTTAAGGATTTAGTATACCAAATTGATATCAATGTTTTCCATGCATATCGATAGTATTTTTATATAATATCAATACTCATAAATTGATATTGATGTCAACCGTTCAAATTAACTAAATTATTCATATCGTCCCTCTATCAGATAAAGTTTGTGATATGACCTTGTAACTTGATGTGATTATATGAATTATTTTTTCAATCACCAATAATAAATTCTCTACATATCAGTTAAATCATAAAATTGATTAATTGTCTATCCAATAATCCAATTAAGGCTAACAGTGTTATCATCATAGTTTCAAACAGTTAACGTGTCATCGTCCATATGGTTCGCAACTTGATCAATTAGAAACGTTAACGTTCCTAATATGGTTTTCACGTTATCTTTGTCAACATAGAGTAAAATAAATTTGATTTTTATTTTAGAAATAATTATTAGATAAGATTCGTGAGGAAAGGGAAAGCTTAATGTAGGGGCCAGCATGATAGTTAAAGCTTAATGTAGGGGCCGGCATGATAGTTTAACTTTTAAAACTTTAAACCCTTGACTGCTGTTTCAATAAATTAGACCCCAATAATAATTTTATTAATGTTATTAGTATTATCAAATTTCGAAGAATTACCCGATGTCGAGATACGACGTCGTAGCTAAAAGTGGTTCCTTGGAACATTCAAGAAGTGTGCGTGATGATGTCGACCCACTCTGTGTTTCCGGTGAGTGGATCGAGTTAATGTTGGAAGAGTAGCTGGGATGACTTGGAACTCATGAGTTTAAGTGTATACTTCTTTCACGTAAAATATTTTTCGAAAAATAAGTTAGTTGTTGTAAATATTTTTCTGGATAATAAATTTAAAAAAAATAATAATTTACAGTCAGATTTTTTTGTAAATTATTTGTCTAATTTTTCACTTTAAAGTATAAATTATCAAAATAATATTATTTTATATATTTAATATTAATACTATATTTTAGTATCATTTTAATAAAAAATATTAATCATTAAAGTATTTAAAATATATTAATTAATATTTTTAATATTATAATAATATACTCAGTTATATTATAATAATATATAATATTATATTCTTATTTTAATAATATATAAAAATTATTAATAAAATTTATATTATTTATGAATTTCCTAACAATAATATTTTTAAATTATTAATAATGAATAATATTTTAATTAAAATACTTATAATATATTTATTAATAATTTCAAAAATATAATATACTATTTTTATTTTAATAAATATTTAATATAATTTATAATATTTTATTTTAATACACTATATTAGTATTAATACTTTTATTTATAAAGTTGTAGAAATAATGTTTTAATAATAATATTGACATAAATAATATTAAACAAGTTATACAAAAGTTTTGTTGGAACTATAGATGGTGGTGTATTTGATGTATTAATAGTTTATAATTTTATATATTATCATCAAATTAAGTAATAATATATTATCAATAAACTTAAATATTTTTATTTTTTTATAATATATCATGATTCCATTCCTTGATTGTGCATAGAGTTATATAGTATTAATGTATTAAATAATAATCTATTAAAACTCATCTAGTGATCTCGATGACAAAATAAATTGTTTTCTTAGAGGTCTGAATTTGAATAATTACATCTTAGGTGCGTGTATTGTAAATAAGTTAAAAAAATTAGACAATATATTATAATTACATCAAACTATTAAAAAAATAATCTATTACAAAGGGTTAGGTAAACTCGTTGGTTTAAAGTTAAGTTACTATAGTTCATGTTATTTAATTTATAAAACTCTTGTATGATTTTAAGTTTTTAGTTATTTCAAGTTCGATTATTTTGAGTTTAATTATTTGAATATATTATTTAAGACTTTTTTGGGTCTAAGTTACTTTAAAGTTGGTCACTTTGATTTAGTTTTTTCTTGGACAATTTCTATCAAGTGACAGAGTCAAAATTAAATATTGACAGAGATCGAAATATTAAATTATTTAAAAAAATATAAAGACTTATTAGATATTTAAACTCGAAATTCAGCATGAACAAGCGACCTTAGTGATTAAGGAGATTGTTGTTATCTTTGAAGTCCCGAGTTCAAGTACTACTTATGTAGGGGTATGAGCGTTCATTGTCAATTAGTTGAAATTCTTTGTACATATACTACCTTGTATTTACCTTAAATTTATAATAAAAAACTCAAAATTCACAAGACAACTTCTAATTTGTCTAATATTTAAATTTACAATGACCTAAATTGTAATTAGACTAAAAATTTGAGAACACATACTTATCATTATTTAGTTCGACCACTACTTGATTAAATATTTAATAAATTTTTATATTTTTATATTTTTTAAATTTAAATATTTATTTTTACATGAATCAAAATACTATTAAGCCAAAATTATATCAAATACACAAATTTTAACAGTGGTCGGGGCCCCTTGGGCCCTAAAGGAGCTTCGTCCCTGTTTCTATATAAGAAGAAAGAGAAAAGAATTTAGCTCTTAATGGATAAGGGTGAGCTAAACTCGATTCGACTCTAAAAAATTTCAAGTTCAAATCGAGTTGTAAAATACAATTCAAAAATCTTAAATAACTCAAAAATTTTAGTAATTAATAAATTGATTTTTAAATTTGAGACGAAGTATGAGTTGAGTCGCTCAACTTTATATGGTATATATAAATTATATATGAAAAAATACGAAAAAATATATATGTATTGTATATGGTTATAAAATAACATTTAAATTGGAATAAAATAATGTCATAATATTTTAAATATTCACAATTAAATTTAAATAGAAATTTTAAATTTTGATTCGACTCAAAAATATTTCATGTCAACTCCGAGTTATAAAATATGACTTGTCAACTCGAATAACTCGAAATTTTTTTACTCGACTCGATCAAACGCTAACACCTACTAATGAATATTAAATTTACAATTTAAGAGAGAAGAGAGGTATTGACTGAGAGCTTTTAATCATATTCTCTAAAGAATATCGACTTGATTTAGTTATTTCTATTATTACGAGTTCAAATCATTTTAGGGTTGTTATTTTAAATTATTATTAGAACTTGACTCTAAAGTTTACATTATTTGAAATTTTAATTATTTTAAGTTTAAATTGAATAAGTCCATGTTATTAACATTTTGCAACTAGATGGGATTAGAATAAAGTTTGTTGCTACTTTAAAAAATAGAACACCCAAACACAAGGGTCCACTCACCAAAAGGCGAAGCTAGATGCACTAGAGGCGACCCTTGACCTGACAGCTGAAAACTGCTGGTAGTGATCTCTAAATACTATTACTCGATATGAATTAATAAAGTTCGGAAGAAGTTATGTTATTGGTAGTGGGGTTTACATTGCTGGCGATGTAAGTGTATACAGTTTGATTCAAGTTTTTGTTTAAATGTAATCGTAAATATTTATAAGATAATCATACGATTTGATTCTAATTTAAAATATTTTTATAAGTGTATACAGTATATATATCTTCATATTTTTTATAAGTTATTCGAGTTATGTTTTATAATTCGACTAACATTTAAATTTTTTTAGAATTGAGTCGAGTTTTGCTAAATATACTTGATTCAAACTACTACTAGATTCTGCATATAATTTATTGGAATATGAAACTGAAAGTGGTCGTCCATGCTCGACAACTACAATGAGCACCGTAGTTTCCAATGGTTTGAAGCTAATTAAAGTGATGGGTTAGGTGGCTGTCTCCGTTCCTACGTTGTAAAGGAAAAGGAAACTGTTATGCTTCAGTTGTGAACCTTGTAGTTTTGGGATATGAAAACAAATGAATGGGGACGAGGTTTAGAATGTGGTCAAGTAGAAGCAAAACAAAATATTAATGTTTTAAATGAACCCATGATCCTTGGGGAACTGAAATGTGGACCCTTTTTCGTTTTTAACTCTTTTCTTGGTGCATCAAGTGTATGGCATTACCATTTGGTGATTTTGCAGTTTGGAAGTTTGCCAACAAGTAGGATGGATGCCCACGTGGACATGATGTGGGTGCTTTGTCCACAACACATTAACTTGATCGGACCAGGATTAGACGAGGCTGTTAGTCTAGGCTCATAACAATATTGATCATGAATTTTGGGCATGTCAACCGCTAATTAGTTCAAAACTCATCTCTGCTACCAAATTATAGCCCCTACTTTACCTAATGTCTTTGATTGAATTCTACTATACGAAACATAATACAAGTAGAAATAAATATATAATCAAAAGATATTAAAACTTAGGGTAAATTATGTATTTAGTCATCCAACTATTTATATAGTTTTGTTTTGATTACTCATATTTTTTTCAAAATCATATATAATATTACGTTTTAGTTTCATTTTGGTCACTCATCATTAAAAAAATAACGGTGATATTGATTTGTTATCATAAGGTCATGTCATGTCATCATTGAAAAAATAACACGTTAGTAGTTCTATTAATTTTGTAGCAGTGAGTGGTAAAAATGAAACTAAAATATAACATTAAGTATGTATTTTTTAAAAATAATTAGATTATGAAAATCAAACCACATAAATAATTGAGTGGCTAAATATATAATTTATCCTAAAATTTAATGCTAAAAACTTTAAAGCAGAAAATTCACGAAGAGAGGTTTTTTTTTTTACTAATATACAAAATAATAAGAATATAAAAAGATTGCTACTATGCAATGGGCTAACTCCTAATCCTAACTTTATTATATATTTAGAAAGACGCAGTCTCGAATAATAAAACTTCGGGGGATATTTAAAGAGAGACAACATTAGCTTGAGTCATCAACAGCGTCCCAGGAAAATGAGAATAGCTGGCTGGTTGACGGATTGTGACAATAGCCCACAGAAAATGACTTGCTGTTGAACCTACTGCGTTATTAGTGCTGAAATTCTGATGGAGTTAGAATTTTGGGCCACACTCGTTCCATGATGTAGTCCAGTACATATTCATGGAAATGAAGATGATCAACGTTTCTAATTTTCCATTTCCTAATCACACTCAAGAATGCAAGAGAGGTTATGATATTGTCTTCCAATGACAGATTTTCATGCTGTAGGCAATGGATAAAAGAGAGCAAGGGGCAAAGAGTTGTTCAATAAGACATCAAATTCACGAAGGTCACTAATTATTAACAGTCAAGAGATCGACCATGATGAGCAGCTAAATACAAGGGTTTTGTAATGAAAAAACAATGATAAACGGTTTGTTTGTTTGTATTTGCTTCAGTAGCATCCACTGAGGCTAAATGCAAATGGAAATTGCACAGTTTTTATGCAACTTGGTGCAAAACCTATGACCTTTGTAAACAATGTAGATGAAACTGTTGAATTAGATATTTTCACTAGCTTTTTTTTAAATAAACTACAAGTTTGACCCCTTTCGTTTTTATTTTATCTAATTTTAATCATGAATTTTTAAAAAGTTATATTTCAATCTTACGTTATCAATTTGTTATATTTTGATCATTGAGTCGTTAGCTCTCGTTACTTTAATGACGTGACATATTAAAAATGATTAAATTTTAATTTGATTTCTGAAATTTAAATAAAATATCAATTTGATCCTAGAATTCGGTCAAAGTCTCCTATCATTGATCATTGTTTGCCACCATCGTCAGCCATTGTTGACTGTCATCGTCTGTAGCGATTGACCTAAAAGTTTTAAGGGTAAATTGTATCCTTGATTACTTAACTATGGATAAATTTTATTTTGACCATCGATCTTTTAATTTTATCAATAAGATCAAGTCACCAATCGTTAACATTTAATAGAGAAACTAACGTGGTAAAAAAAATTAACGGAAAAGAAGTAGGTACCGAAGAAAATCAAACCAAAGTTTTAAGGAGAAGATTCAACAAGCCTAAACTATAGGGTAAAGTACATAAAAGGTCCTATAATCATCAAATTAAGTTTTTTTTTTTTAATTTAAGTAATGAGATTAGCTCCTGGATTTACTGTATTAGGCATCTAGACGATTTTTAGACTAGGTACAATTTATAATTACAATTGTTATAACAGTTGATTTATTAGTTGTAATCTTGGTTGTTAATGCTACAGATTTCTAGCCTAAATTCACATTTTGTGTTGGATTTTTCAGCCTGTAAATATCAAGGCCTTTTGTAATTTTAAACCCATCCAAAAATATTATTTTTCTCTCTCTAGTATTTCTTCTCAGTTCTGATTTTTTTCTTCTTAATTTTCGAGTTTAAAGAGGGGAGTAGTATCGTCAAAACCCGCTTTAATTTTAATTTTTGAGTGTACAATTATTGGAGAGATCATACTAACCTTAAGAGGCGTTTGTATATTATAACAATTACTCACATTGAAACGAATTTACTTCTAATGCAATGATTTATTACGATATAATTATTTGTTCTTGCTCTTTATTATTTACTTAAATTATTTCAATCAGTGTTAATGTCTATGTAGTAATTAAATTCGAATCATTTGTTAGAACTAACAAATCATCTGTCAGCTTCCTCAACTAACCAGATTATGTCAAAACTCAGACAATTCACAGCAGGAAAAAAATCAAGCTCGCCAGCCCCTATAAATGCCTGCTGTCAATGAAAAATCCTCTTTTTCGACTCTCATAAAAACGAATTTGCTTCGAGTATTAGTAAAATCTGGGATTGCAACCCATTGCGTATTGAAATACTTTGCTGACAAAGCTTTCAAGTTCTTGTAGCCAGCTCCAGTTATGGTGCTCAATCGAGGCCGATGCCTTCATTTGAGTCCAACATATGCTTGCATTGCTACCCCTGCACTCAGTTTATACAACCACCAGATAATTGACAAGTTAAAATAATTTTAAAGCTTCAACTATTGAGTTATCAAGGCTTGAAAAGATTTCCAGGGAGCTTCTCCTGATTCATTTCTATCCTTTCTTCACGCCATTCAGGTCAACAAACAACGATGCAACCAAAATAACTTTTAGACATTCTTATTAGCTAAAATAGGGGGAGAAATGGGCTAAAACCTCAAACAGTTAAAAGAATATGTAGTGAGTATTACAAAGGATGAAGCTTGGAGAAAGAAGGTTAACCATTTTTGATGTGGAACATAGTAGTCCATCATTAGGAAGAAAAAAAAAACTGAATTCCCGACATGTATACATGTGATTGATGACTTCCATTCTAAAATCTAAAAACAAAGAAAACTAGAACTTGAAAAAGGCTGCAGCTTTCTGGATTCTTTTCCAGAAAAAAAGGATGTAAACAACCCTTTTAATCTATCGATAAACTCGTGCCAGTGGGAGCTGTCTTCTTCCCAGAATACTTCTGTTGAAACCCAAAGGTAAATCTTAGATATATATATATTCCAATTATACAAGTTTTACCATAGGTGAGATCCAAGCTCTCTGACCTGCTTCCCAATGCTGAATGGAACATATTTGTACTTGATCATATGCATTATCTGACGCTTCGTGGTGAGAACAAATAGTGCAATCCAGTAGAAGAGTAATATGGGCCAAAAGACGGGAACATCGAATATAGAAAAGAAAGTCATCATGAAGCCTATGCAAAATGCTTTTGTTATTGAGTACCTGCCAAAGATTTCAATGGAAGAGGCAAGAATGTTCACAGACACCCCATAGATTTTATTCCTAGTAACAATCAAGAGATCGAAAAAAAGGGGTTATTTAAATTACCAAAACTTGAACTCTGGAAGTCGGCGAATGAAAGGCTTGAATTCATCGGAGCCTCTAGTTGGCAATGAGACTTCATCCAAGTATCCGAGTTCGAGTTCAGGATCAATCTTAGGCGACAAAAAACCAATCAATAGATTCAGGATGTAGATCCCAATAGCGTAGGATACGATATAAAAGCCTTGCAAGAGGTAGACGCGTAGAACGTATATGGTTGCAATGGCAAGCGTTCCAAGCCATCTTTCCGTGATATGCGGCATCGAGCGATCCAAACAGAACTGAAACGTTCGAGAGAACTCGCTCTTCCACTTCGCTATCGGCGCCAATGCCGTGGCAGCATCGTCCCCTGATCCTTCCATTTGAAATTAACTATAATTAAATGTTAACACCCCTAAGAAGACAGAAAGCAAAATCAAATGGGGATATGAGGATTTAGAGAGTTTGTGAAAATGTAAAGAAAATGACTTTGTGTGTTGCCTTTGATTGAAGATGAAGTTAAGGTTAATCAAAGAGATGTTAATGATAAACAAGATTTTAATGCCGGTTTTCACGAGAATAGTAAGAAACAAGAACATGACAAAATTGTAGGTAGTTTACAGTTACACGGGTTGCTCGGTCCGTATCTTAAGCACCAAAACGCACCATCTTGATGACGTTTTGATGAAAAAGTGAATCGGGATGGTGGACTTTGCCATAATGAGCCTTTTCTTTAAGGGCTAATTCTAAAGTAAAACTGGGTAAACTACAAAAATGATCGTTTATCTTTCATATTTGTATACTTTTACTCACCAAATTTTAAAAAGTTAATTTTTGATCACTTATATTATCATTTTATTAAATTTTGGTCACTAGGACGTTAAATGTCGTTAGTTTGATGGCGTATCACATTAATAAAATGATTTAATTTTTATTTTAACCACTGAAACATTGAATGTCATTAGTTTAATGATGTAATACGTTAATAAAATGCTTTAATTTTCATTTTAATCCTTAAATCTTAGATAAAATATTAAATATGAGCCTTTTTGTAAATTGAAAATAATTTAGGGATAAATTTTTAATTTTCCCTTTTCCTAATGTGTTTCTCCATCTATCTCGAAATCTCCCAAGCTCGATTAAGGGAGCTTCAATACCCATAATTTTAAGGGAGCTTCAATACCCATGCGAGGAGAAAAGCTAAATATCATGTCAGCAACATGTGTTGATTATTAATCTAACTTCTAACGTTAAGTATTTTGACCAAAATCGAAACGTTGAAGTTAAAATGGCCTTGATGCAAATTTGAGTACATGACAAATCTTCCTTTACCGCACTGCACATTGGACCTCAAAGAGACTTGCATCAAATTTCATAATTCAAATGGCAGTAACCTTTAAAATACGTCAACGACTTCAATCAGACTATCTCGAGTATAAATGTAAATGTAGTTTAAAGTTACGGCTCCGGCTAGCATGCACTTTAGCACCAATTGATAAAAGACAATTTTGCATATGAAAGAAGGAAATATCCATCACAATGATGTCTACAGTGACTAATGCAAATTTCGAAGACCTTGATAGAAGAACTCATCTATAATGATGGGAAGCTGGTTCGTCCAGCCTCAAATATCCATCGGGGCCACATCCTCGCCAGCAGCAGCATCCTGCTCGGGCACGGGCTCGCCTGATGCCTCCTGTCCTGCAGCAGCAGAATCTTCTTGCTCTCTCACAATCTCGAAGGCATCAATCATTTGTTGAACACTTCCCTGATCCAAAATATGGAACGGCTCTCCAACCCCTACCACAGCGATTGTACATACAGAGCTTTTAGGGTTTCTCCTTGCAGGGTCTCCTTATTGCCATAAGAGCATCCTTGACAAGATCATCACGTGATGAGTCTGTAAAGGTCTCAAACCTGCGTTCCAAGTACGTCTTTGCAGCTTGCGAGCGTGATCCGATGGCAAAAGCCTGGTATTCAAAGTAATTTCCACTCGGGCAGTTATAATAGAGATGAGCCCCGGATTCATCCAAACCAGCCACCAAAAACACAAGCATTTTCCCCTTTTCAATTTCACAAACAAATAACAGTGTTATGCTAGTTCTAAAATGAAATGGTTTAACTTTCAAGAAATCCACAAGAAAAACAGTTTTAGTTGGTTTTACAAATTGAACACCACAAAATAAAAAGCTTGCCAGATAAATGACAGAAATAAATATATACAAATAATATTAGACCTTCAAATATGTAATTGAATCAACAAAATGCTCCTATTACTTTTGGCAAATATACAAAAATTTGAGCAACAAATTGAATATGTAGAGAACATTTAGGAAAAGAAACAAAAGAGAAACGTCAAAGGCTTCCATACCATTTTAAGAAACTATTGAAGTGGCATGTGAAAACAGAGATCATATACCAAACTTACTGTTTACCAACTATAATCAACCACAAAGACTTCACATCATTTAAAGCAGTAGCACGAACAATCTCATCTCTTCATAACAGAGCATACACAATCCAAGTTAAGTTATCACGAGTTCTAGGAAAAATGCTACTAGATCACATAACACTGGCACAGCTAAACATACGTGATGTTCAATTAAAAGTCATTGGCAGGCATTCATAACAACATTCTTTTCAAACCATCCTTCTTATTTCTCTAACTTGCTTTGTACCATGGAGTTTTTGGCCATTAAAAGAAAAGCAAATATGAGCTTTTTGCCCAGGTCACTTGATGGCAAGGTAACTCAACTCTTATCCACAACATTCAAGTATTGCTAACTCAATAATGGAATATAAAACCATAAGATTGAAATTTCCTCATTTGTAAACATTTTTTATTTGCATAATATTAACCCTCATCGTCCATTTCACTTTCCTCTATTCTGTATTTAACATTCGGTTATCATATTACATTGCTAATCATCTACCACTTCAGCAATAATACAATTGCGTAATGCTACTTAACTTTCTAAATAATTAATCTATCAGTCTTTCCTACTGTAGCCTTCTATGCAAGGTAATTTTCACTCAGAATAGTATTCTGGTTAAGTCAACAATCATGATGGGCTTCAAATTTTGAAGGATTATTTTTGTTCCAAAGCATTACTCGAAAACCCCATAGTTGTCAAGACATCAGAAGGTATAAAACATCAAAGCATTTCCCATTTCTAAGAAGCCCTAAATCAACATCACCATGTTCAAGTGTTCAACTACACTAAATGATGGACATTTAATAGAGAAATTAAAGACCTGAGCTTTATCGGCGAGTTGGACGACGAGACGGCCCACAGGAAGCGGCGATTCGTATGTGAAGCTGTAGTTGATACACTCGTTCCGCATATACCGAGAGAGAACGCGGCCTTCGGCAGTGAGACCGGCGATGGTGACGCCGATGTGGTCGTAAACTTTGAAAATCTTCTTCTGGTGATAAGACAACTCGGAGTTACCCTTGTTGACGCAACCCAATACAATATGGGTCTTGGATCGGAGTCCGATCGCTGCCGAGCCTTGCTTCACTGCCTCCATTGCGTAGTCCACTTGGAACAACCGCCCCGCGGGGCTCCATGTAGTGACGTCGGTATCGTACTGGTTCCTGAACGTCTTCCTCTATGAAACCGTCCAGATTTACTATTTGCGTCCACTAAGAAACCTGCTTTCCCCTCTATTTCTCCCTCCCTGGACTGTTATTTTTAGAGGGGTTTTCTTCTTCTTCAAGACAGGAAGAGAAAAGATAACACCTATAATAAAGGGAAGAGGTCCTTTTCATGGCTGGGGTCTGACTGGGCATGGCCATAGATTGGCATGATTTTGGATTGCTCACTGAGATATTGACCCAATGAATATTTAATATTTGGGCCTAAAGTACTTGCCCTTGTAGCCCGTTCTTGACGAACTCAATGTGGTGCCTATTAAATGAGAAATCTTGTATGTAGATAATTAGAGGGGGGATTCTAATTTCTAACTCAATATTTTGTAGTGTGATTAAAGTAATTGAATGGTTAATCTGAGAACAATCTAAGAAAATTGAATTTGATAGCTAACTACATATTATCCGAGGTCATTCTAAAACTTAAATTTTCTTTTTCATACAAAACCACGATGATAAAATGATCGAAGAAAAAAAATAAGAAGTTAATATAGTTAACTTTTCTTAATGTAATTTGATGAATATAAATTTTACCCAAATATAACAATATATAGTGAATGGTTTAAATATAACAAAGCCGAGGTACCTGCGGAAATTCTTCCTTCAACAATACCCCCCAATTAAAACATTTTTTCGTCATTAAACGAAGATATCAGAAATCAAAACAGAATTCAGAACAGATATCAGAACAGAATCCAGATCAGAAATCAGAACAGAATTCAGGTCATTTATCAGAACAGAATTCAAGTCGGAAATCAGATAAAATATTTATATGATTAGGGAACACACCAGAGTTTACAGATATTATTCAGAGATGCTAAATAATCTTAGCAGGCAGAGAAACACGGATTTTCAGTATACCGATAAAATACCGGACGTTAGAAATACTATTGGAAAAGTTCAATAACTGACAGAATCATCAGTTATTCAGAATGTGAATTATCAGGATCATATCTTATTTGGACAGTTTTCAGAAGTTGTATGTAATCAGAAGGGTATTCAAAATACTTTACGTCCATTTCAATTGATCGGATAATCGAACAATCTTGAGAACGAAGATTCAGAATCTTAATAATCTATGTCGACTGGTCAATTCATTTTCCTTTCATGGTATTTACTCGTTAATACCACAAATTCTTGTCCATAGATCATCTTCAGAATCATCGCTGAATAGATCTTCCAATGGTCTTTATTTCGTTTCCAAGCTTCCACGATATCATGACATACTGACATGCTTGATTTGTAGTTCATGTTCCATAAGGACATTACATCTTATAAACTCATCAAGATTTCCAGACTTATCCAATCCACTTACTTAATCCTCAGTCATTGAGGTTACCTAGTTTATTTAACAGTCATATCCATTCCAGTTACTTCGGATTTTTTTCAGAGTAATTCAACGTTCCTAAATTTCAGACACATGTTGCACTTCCGTTCCATTCAATTTGGTCTTCGTGGTTGATTTGTCGAACAAACGTCCAATTCCTAGTACTGAATACGATCTAGATCTGAGCTGAACTGAATACTTCCAAATTTGTCATCGAGCCAACTTGGGAAGACGAACATGTTCCAGTAATATCTATGTCATTCAGGTATTGACATAGCTTTAGGGTTGATCTGCTCACTTAAATTATTTTTCATTACCTTTAAAGGTAGTCCAATACCTATGCTTGCTTGAATTTCTTAATTAATCCAAGACATTTACTTAATTTAGGCCATAAGGGTATTTTG